AGACTGGCTTTGAAGTCCAGATCCTCCTGCCTCAGCCTTCGGAGTCACTGGAATTATAGGCATAAACTACTGTGCCCAGTGAATTTTTTTTTTAAGAAGCAAAACTACTTGATTTCTAATGTAGACAATTGGATCTAACATTTAATATATCATGTGCAAAAGAAAAGAGCCTGTGGTCCAGATTCAGCCCTGATCTACCTCTCCTGCCTTGATCCTGCACATATACTGTTCCTTGTGTTCATCAGGGCAGGAATTCCTCAAGGACAGGCCTAGATGTGACTCTAGGTCCCAGCATGGCCTAAGGATATTGGCTGAATGAAAATGTCCCACACCCAGTTTGCCCTCCTCCAGGTCTTATACATGCTGTTCCCATTGCCTTAAATGTTCTTTTTAGCCAACTAGCAAGTTTCTACCAACTTTTATTAATACAGGATCTATTAGCTCCTCTGTAAAGTCATTACTTCCTCCTTGGATTCCCCAGCCCCTGATCCTCTCTTCCAGATGCAATCTCTGGAGCTGGGATTGTGTGTGTTCGCCCCCAGACTGGCATCTTGGTCTCACTGACTCTGGGGTTCAGCATCACCAGAGCTTGGAGTCAGGCACGTATTTGGCCATAGTGAGAATATGTGTTAGAAGGACTATTCCCCAAGTTCCTCCATTTTTCTAACCCCCCAGGCTCCAGGAAGGTGACTAATGACAGTACCTTCCCCTTCATCTTAGCCTAAGGACTCAGTGCTAAGGAAAGCTGCTCTGCTGGATGTCAGTCACTGAAAATCAAGAGGACCATGAAGAAGTTACTTTATTGAGGTGAATGAGTGCAGGTAACTGCCCCAATCCTGGCCTCAGCACTCTCAGTACAGTCTCATGGGTGGAAAGGACCAGGCTTCTGGACTGCTCTGAGCTACCACCCAGGAGAGGCTGGGCAGTGGGGCAAGGGGGCTGGGGCTCCAGTCCAGAGCAGAGGTTCTGGGTAACAAGGGTGATAGTGGCTGAGGCAGGGGCTGAGGTGGGCCGACAGCCCAGGGTCTGGGAAGGGGTGGTGTGGCTACTAGCCAGATGCTTTTCAGTAGGTCAAAAGCTGTTGGAGGGCCCCAGGCTGCCCCAGATGGTGAAGGCAAGGAGGGCAAAGTGGGTGGCCAGGGACCTCCTGGTGGCACCAGGCTCACTCTGTGTGCAAAGGGAGGGCTGGAGGTATGAGGCATGGAAAAGGTGAGCTCCTTTGTTCCCCGAAGTCTCCTTTGCCTCTCTTCCCTTGGGGCTTGCTCAGGGCTGTTGATCCAAGAGGGTGTCATCCTTTGTTTCTCAGAGATTCCAGGCTTGGTCCCTTGTACAGAGGAAAAAAAGTATGGGAGAGAGCTGAGCTACAGCAGAGAAGGGAAAGGGAACATAGGAACAGGAAGTGGGCTCACCTGGCAAGGGTGGGTGGCAGCCTCGGAGCACCAGGGAAAGATCAGGTACACAGCCATGGCAGGCCTGTAAGTTTCCCACGATGACATCCCTGGCCTCCTGTACCAGGTTCCTCCTGGGGAAGGCCTGTGGCAGAATCAGCTGGCACTGCAGCTCACCCAGCAGTTTCCCCAAGCAAGGGAGCTCTGGGGAATGTGGGGGGCCTGGACCCAAGTCTCCAGGCACCTGATTCTCCTTGCCCTTTGACTGTTCTGGTTCTTGGACCCTGCCTGGGTTTGGGGAGGGTTTGGTTTGGAGAAAGAGAGTTCCTGATTCCAGGGACCCACTGGTAAGCAATCGGGCCACATCCAGAGATTTCACCTCATGGTTGAAGAGACCCCGGTGCTCCCGGCTCAGCCGGCCCTGAGTTATGACCACAAGCTTGGAGGCAGAAGGGGCCACAGGATTCCAGGGAGCCACAGGATCCTGACGGCTCCCCCGGCGGCTGCCCACAAGGGCATTTCTCTCCCTCCTGGTCTTCCGTCGGCGGACACGGCCAGGTTTCTCAGGTTGCTGGAAAGGCTGAGGTGCTGGCCGCCGGGAGTCCATAATGTCCTGAAAGATGAAAATAGGTTGGTCATCAGATGCAGGTAAGTCAGGGTAGTAGTAAAGTGAGAAATGATAGTTGAGTGAGGAATACTATTAAAAGAAAAAAGCCAAAAAAAAAAAAAAAAGAAAAGAAAAGAAAAAAGTGGACAGAGAGCAGCTGAAAAGGATTTGTCCAGAGAAGGAATCCTAAATGAGGTTGAGATAGTAGTAACAAAAGAAGAGATGTCAAGGGATAGAGAAAGGACAACTGGGAACTGGAACATGGGGATATAGTTAAAAGATGAAAGATGACAGACAAATGGATCATGAAATTGGAGAGATCTAGGGACCAGAATGGAATTTTGGACAGAGGAGAAATCCAGGAGTTGAGGAGTTACAAGAAGATGCAGAAAGTGAAATAAAAACCTTAGAGAAAGACAGGAGAAAGAACATCAAGAGAAGTTGGAGAGCCTGAAAGACCCTGGAGGACAGAAAGGAAGACAGAAGAGCTATCAGAGACAGGGACTAGTTATGAGGGGAGGCCTGGGGCAAGAGGCAGACTAGGGCAGTTGAGGCAGAGCAGGGGGGCAGAATGAGGGGAGTGCGCAGAGGCAGAGTGGGGGAGGGGCAGCGTACCCTCTTCTGTACCAACGAACCTGCCCCCAACTCACTCCACGTGGCCGTGGAGAGCAATGGCTTCTTTCACACCCGAGCTTCGAAGCCGCCCAGCGCTCTTCCGGGCCTCAGGCACACTACACGCATGCGTGCGTCCCTGCCACGCCCTTTGACTTTCAGGCGCCCTATAGAGGCACGAGGCCCCCAAAGTGCCAGTTATAGCCCCGCCCTCCCAGCCTTACTTGGCCTAGGCATCTCCTGCCCACCAATTGGCTGTGAGTTACCCTAGGCCCGCCCCATTCCTGACTGCTGATTGGTCTAGACAGCTATTGGCGGACTGTCTAGAAGTCAAGATGAGCGGGCTGAGGAGAAGAGCTTTGTCTTCCCAGTTTCCTGACACAGACCTGATCCTTGGAGAATCATACTGTGRTGTTGTCATTCACAGTCTCTGAAGCTTAATTATCTAGGTCAAACACCCAAACAAGTATATTTGACCTTGGAAATTTTTGAAATTGCTCAGAGCTTCCCTCAAATGGTTGCTAGAAGGTTGGAAAGAACCAATACATCTAACTTGAAACAGTGCCTACTGAATAAATGAATGAATGCTTGGAAGCTTTGTTTCTCACTCAGCTTTGCTTCAGGAACTACCCCGTCCCCCACCTCTCCAGGTTATCTGTCTATACTTGTTTCCTCAGACTTTAAAATCAAACAATGCCAAGATATTTCCCATGCATAAGTAGTAGTATAACCAAATTTCTTTTCTTTCCGTTTGCCCAGTCTTCATTATATCTCAAATCCTGCTCAGATACTGCTTCTTTAAAACAACAACAACAACAAAAAATAAACAAACAAACAAAAAAACCTGGCACTCAGAATGCTTCTCTTCCTCCTCC